GTGGATAGAGCGTCAGCCCGAGGACTGAGGGGTTCCAGATCGATTCCGGTCAAGGGCATGTACCTCGGTTGCGGGCTCCATCCCCAGCCCTGGTCAGGATGTGGGGTGTGGGAGGCAACCAATCGATGTGTGTCTCTCTCTCACATTGATGTTTCTCTCTCTCTGTCTCTCCCCCTCCCTTCCACTCTCTCTAAAAATCAACGGAAAAATAGCCACAGGTGATTAGAAAAAGAAAGAAAAGAAAAAAGAACTTCATATAAAATTTCTGATGACAGTGACCGTATCAGTCTCAAGAAGCAAAAGACATTCTGTGGGAGAGAAACGTAAACGCCGAGCCTGAAAGGAAATGAATACCTCGATGCAGACGTGGTGCATGCCTCCGGCCTTGTTCTTCTGCAGAAACCCCGCGATCGGACTGTCCTTTCCCAGCGGGTGAAGCAGCTCCAGCTTGGTGTTCCCGAGGTCGACGAAAACCACAGACACTCCGTGCTCGGGGAGAGGGGACACCTCGCTGACCTGGGCCCCCAGCACGTCCCGGTAAAACGCCCGGGCCTTCTCCAGGTCCGGCACGGCGATGGCCACGTGGTTGAGCCGCCCCAGGGCCCACACGGCAGCACCGGCCACACGACGTGAGGACTGGGGGGTGGAAAAGGCTCTCGCTGTGGGAACGGGAGCCTGCAGCCGTGAGAACAGCCCTGAAAGATGGAACAGTCGTTGGCAACCTCCCTTTGACATCAATGTGCTTCTAAAATTATTTAAATTGCTCACTCCGTTCTGAAATAGCTGCCTGAAGTGAAAAAGCTAATTCTGAGCCATCTGATGTTAGATTCAGAGCACGGAAGGCTATCTTCCATGAGAGCTTACATTTATCGACAGCACGTTGAGGGCAGCTGCCGTTATGAGGAATTACTTGCTGTTCTCTGCACCTCACATGGGTGAGCTTGAACGTGCCAGTGAAGTAACACACTTGCCAGTGAGAACAATTTTGTTCCTGATCTATGACCGGTTGTTGGTGTTACAGTCTGTGACAAGCTCAATAAAGCCCTGACCATACAGTGCTTTTTAATGTGCATTTTATGTGAATGGCTGTCAACCAGCCAAAATGCCTCACTGTGGGGGGAAAACAAAGATCTCCCCAGCCGAGTTATCTCTACGAGCGAAGGGGCAGCCAGAGGAGTATGGCAGGCGGATGTTTCTGTATTGTTTTCTGTTCTCTCCCTCCCTCTCTCTCTCTCTTCCACGCTAAGAAAAATCAATGGAGCCCTGACCGGTTTGGCTCAGTGGATAGAGCGTCGGCCTGCGGACTCAAGGGTCCCAGGTTTGATTCCGGTCAAGGGCATGTACCTTGGTTGCAGGCACATCCCCAGTAGAGGGTGTGCGAGAGGCAGCTGATCGATGTTTCTCTCTCATGGATGTTTCTAACTCTCTATCCCTCTCCCTTCCTCTCTGTAAAAGAAAAAAAATCAATAAAAATATATTTAAAAAGAAAATCAACGGGAAATATATGCCCTGAGGACCAACAACCCAAAAAAACCTCACTGCCCAACTGGAGGCTGTTTGCCCTTGGCCCATGTGTGGCACCCCCGGTGCTGTAGTCGCTGCATCGTTTCGTGAACCCACAACTCTCTGCGTTCTATGGCCAGCGCTCTCCTTTCGCTCTGGAAAAGTTTACGGGGCTCTGGCTGCAGAGCCTGATGGTAAGGGTTTCGGTCTGAGTGACTACTGACGTCCTGACGGTATTCCAGGCCTCGTCTTCTTTTTGCATTTTGATGCAATAGCACCGGCTTACAAGCTGCCCAACGTAACATTAGTTGTTTATAGCAACTCCCTAACTCGCTCACACGACTCATGGCCGTTAGTGTTAACTTGGGAAACGCCTTTGAACATCATGTGAAAGTGCAAACTGTATTTGTGACCATGCTGCCTTCAAAAACCTATAAACTGAAAAAAAAGAAAAAAAACTAACAAACCTGTAAACTGATTATCACCCCCCAATGCTGAGATGCCCCTGTCTGCAGGCCTTCCCCCGACTGCTGGGGTCCAGACACCGCGGGGGCCAGAACGCCCGGGGGGAACACCTCACTGATATGACCTCACCTTCCCAGAGGAGACCCCGGGGTTTATCTCATCGTCAGTTATGCCACAAACCGCCTACGTAACCTTGCCAACTGTTAAATCCCAAATCCCGGAGTGAGAGCGGATGGTGCCGTGGCCCGGCTCTGCCCCCCGAGTCCTCGTGGCCGTAGCATAGAGGCAATGTACTGGTAACTCTGTGAATCGGCGTGACTTTTCCCACCTGAGAGACAAGGAAGACGGGCCTGGCTCGGTGGTTTTCCTCAAGGTCACACGAGGCGGCAGAGCGGAGCCCGGAGCCCAGGTCTGTCCGGCACCAAGGTCAGTGCTGTTAAACGGTGACGTTTAGCGTCCTCGTGCCTCTGAAATGCTTCCTGAACCTCCGTTTTTAGTATCTTTAGTGTGTGCCCCAGGAGCAATAGCGACTTGCTAAGCGATGGCTTTTTGAGACAAGGAGATGACTCTTCATGAGTTTGGTATTTTTTGGGGGGTTGGCGGGGTTGGTAAAGGGCAGCTTGCAATGGTGTGTGCGGTAAGATGCTGACTTGCACTTTTACTGAGAAGAGGAAGGAGGGCCTGGGAGGGCGTGTCAGTGCAAAACTTGCCTATCACCTGCTCGTTAGAGATTCGTTTTAACAAACATAATACTTTTTCATGTACATGAGTCACCTCTTTATACCGATCATGTGGAGAGGCTCCTATTCTGCACTTGTCTCCTTGGGGCTCAGCACTCAGCCACGGCAGATGCGTAGGACAGACTACAGTGATCGTCCTGGCTGGTGCAGCTCAATGGTTAGAGTGCCGGTCCGCACACCGGAGGGTCTCGGGTTCAACTCCCGGTCAAGGGCGTGTGTACCTGGGTTGCACGTTCGATTCCTGGTCCTGGTCAGGGCACATGTGGGAGACAACCAATCAATGTGTCTCTCTCACATCCATGTTTCTCTTTCTCTCTCTCTCTCCCCTCCTTCCTTCCACTCTCCCTAGAAATCAATGAAAAAAATATTCTCACTCCTCAGGTGAGGATAAATATATATATATATATATTTTTTCTTTTAAAAAAACTATAGTGATTGCCCTAGCTGATTTGGCTCAGTGCATGGCATGACCGCCTGTGGACTGAGGGGTCCTGAGTTCGATCCCCAGTAGGGGGCGTCCAGGAGGCGGCCGATCCATGATGCTCTCTCATCACGGATGTTTCTCTCTCTCTCTGAAATCAATAAAAATACTAGTATATTGCCCTGGCCGGTTTGGTTCAGTGGATGGAGTGTCAACCTGCGATCTGAAGGGTCCTGGGTTCGATTCCAGTCAGGGCACATGCCTGGGTTGCAGGCTCGATCCCCAGTAGGGGGCGTGCAGGAGGCGGCCGATCCATGATGCTCTCTCATCACGGATTTTTCTATCTGTCCCTTTCCTTTCCTCTCTGAAATCAATAAAAATATATTTAAAAAAATACTAGTTATTACAAAACAATCGGTTCAGCTTGAGAAGCGACTTCAGAGGGCGCGCAGAACTGTGAGGCCCGTGGGCGGAAGGAGAGGGAGCCCTTCCTAGGTGAGAAGCCGGACATTATTAGGGGTTCACCCCGGCCGCACCCCGGGAAGGTGTGGAGCTGAAGGACGCTCAGGGGTGACTCCGTGAGCCGTGACCTCAACGGGGAATTCCAGATGGAGGGAGAGCTGCCCAACGATGGGGGCCCCCCCCACAGGAGAAAAGAGGGGCCTGGGAGAGGTGGGGACCGGAGAGCCAGGACACCTGCGATTCTGTCACCACAGCTTCCAGGTAACTTTTTTAAAAAAAATGTTATTATTGATTTCAAAGAGAGAGGGAATCATGGGCCGGCTGCCTCCCACGTGCCCCCTCCTGGGGATGGAGCCCTCGACCCCGGCCTGCACCCTGACCTCCGGGGTCAAAGGTCGGCACTCACCACTGAGCCCTGCGGGTGGCGCAGCCTTTTTGATTTATTTCTAATGGACGTAGAGAACTCAGGGGACCTGCGACCCCTGCACCCGCGCCCCTCCTTCCTGCGGGTGCACAGGAGGCAATTTTAGGGGAGCAGGGGGGCAGCGCCAGCCTGTCCACATTGCGCCTTCGGCAGTGCGGTGTGGGAGGCCAGCTCACGGCTTTGTCTGGTTTTTATGTGGTTAATCCTCACCTGAGGACGTACATATATTTTTAAAAAACTTTTTTTTGAGAGTGGGAGGGAGGGAGGTGGGAGAGAGACTCATGGGTGGGCTGTCTCCCTCGCGCATGCGCGCCCTGCGCTAACCACTGCGCGGCCGGCAGGGCTCGGCTCCCGTGTGTGAGTGTGAGTGTGAGTGTGCGTGTGTGTTCGCACAGGACTTGCCTTCCTTTCGGCGTCTCTTCTCTAGGGCGCGCCCTCACATAAGCTCACGGCCCCTCCGCCGTTCACTTCGGTCTCGGCCCTGCTGTCTGTCCCCAAGGACGGGCTCCCGCGTCCCTCCGGGGCGTCGTGGAAAAGGGGCGCCGTCACCGGCACGCCCTCCAGC